GGTGAATTTCCTTACATCCCAAACCTAAAATTTGTAGAGTTTGTATCATTAATATTCCGAATTACTTATCGGATACAAGCCCAATCTTTGGATATTTAACTTCAATATGTTCAATATTCATTCTACGTCGGCTTTTAGTGAGGCTAATTACGTTTGTTTAATGAAGTGTAACCCACCTTTGTCAATATAAATGCGGAACTAACCTACCTACTTAAGGGGCCCACCAGATTCAAATGCGGAACTAAAATACCCATTTATGGCCCTAGGGTCATTATCTGCGGAACTAACCTACCACCAGACTTTTACCCCCCGGAATTTTACCCCCGGATTTTTACCCCTGGATATTTACTCCCCGGAATTTTACCCCCTGGCCGATTTTAGAAACTGAATGGTTGATTTTCTTATTTTTGATTTTAATTATTTGTAAACATTTCATTATTTAGTAGCCTATCTTTATTAATTTATTTTGTAAAGAAATGTTAAAAACAATAATTATCATTCATAGTTGATTGTTTATACGTCATATTAACCAACTGTTGGCTTCAAAGATCGAATCCTAATACTAGAATCTCAAAACTAAAATTAAAAACCTGTTCGATTGGTTAATTTTACAAATAAATTAATATAGGCTACTTAATAATAAAATGTTTACTATTAAATTAAAACAGAATGAAGATAATTAATCATTCTCACTAATTTATATATCTGGCCAGGGGGTAAAAATCCACACTCTAGGGGGGTACACTCTAGGTTTTTATAATTTGATGTGTTCTGATTAAATTCACAACCGTGAAAATATATGTTTAGTTCCGTGTTTAATCCATCGAGCTGATGTCACGAAACTCAAAAGTTCACGGCCGGAATTTTACCCCCTGGTTTGTGACGTCATGTTTGCCCAGGGCGATAAAAATCCGCTATCCCATTTTTTTAACTAATGTATTGGCATCTGTTTGAGAATATAATAACATTCAAATCAATCACAATGTTATCCTTATGGAAGGAACTTTGACGGCAGCCCACACCCTTAAAAAGATATATTTTGAAAATCTAAAGCCAGTTTGCACATCTACACACATAGACGAACATTTTGGTATATGTATAATATGTGGGGTTAAATCTTAAAACAAAAAAGGATTATTGTTCACAAAGTTTCATGTCGCGTATTAAATTTAAAGGTTATTTTGTTATTATAGCTGTTTTGGGTTAAATATACATGTAGCTATTAAATTACATGTAAATGGTTTAAATTTAAATAAATAAATCCATACTATTATAAAATTGAGGTGGTATCTGTCTTTTTTGCTATCACAACTTAAATACTAAGCCGAAATGATAGCCAATATTAATCACATATATGGTCCACATATCTAGGAATGTCTTCCTATTCACTTCAGTTCATCTCGGGCATCAGATATAAAAACCGCCATTATGAAACGGTTTATATAACCTTTTATTCATATTTTGCACAAATATGGTGGCTAAAATATAAAACATTTTTGTGAATTTCAATGCTGTAGCTCAAACCATTGAGGAGTTAAGATTATTTTTGTAAAAAAACCTATAGACAGACTAAATAAGGTTGTACTTAAATGACAAATTTTGTCGTTGACTTAAATGTTTTTATTGAAGTTTTTGCTTTAAAAGGCTATCATCCCGTATAAAAAAACCTTAAATTATATCTATCTATATCTACATGCTATTAAAAAATTTAGGTGGTGTCTGTCTGGGTGGCTGTCACGACTAAAATACTAAACCGATACAGCAAAAATTGTGGCCAAAGATGGGGCACACATCTAGGAATGTCATAGGCCTATTCACTTCGCTGAGTTCCTCTCGGGTTATGCCCCTTGGACGTTCAAAGTTTTTATGTGAGGTTTTCAAAAGTAAATATTAATAATTGGTCTCCATGGAAGCATGAGAAAAATCACAATGTTTACCCACACAACTTCAATGTAAACAAGCAGAAAACTGCCATAAATGCGTATTTCACAATTTCAGACAGCTGATCCAAACAATAGTTATTTGTGCAACAAGTGAGCAAAGTGAGCAATTGCCTCACTCGAGAGAAATCCTTATGGTTTCTCGAGTGAGGCGATTGCACTTTGCACTCGAGTTGCACATTATATTTTTCCTAAAGTTACCATAAAACAAATAAATTGGAAAGAAACGTAAGAATGTCGGCATTAGTCACTAACAAGACTACAAGATCGGCCACTCATCTCCATTCATACTTGGCTTAAAATACCTACTATGTATGGTCGCCATTTCATAAAAAAGTATTAAAGTATGATATAGTATATCTTCCTGCGGGTACAGCAGCTAGTTGTAATTAAACTTTAATGGTCCCATTTAAACAATTATAAGAAACATGATTTTCTCTCAATATCATGATGGTGATGGATGATTGGGAGAGGGAGAGAGTTTGACCTTGACCTCAGGGTGTGTCTACAATCAGCTGGTGGCTGCCTTTGCTTGGTTAAAGCAGTGGCTACACTTGCCCGATTCGGTCCGGTTCGGTCCGGTCCTCAAAAATGCGGAACAATGCTTCCCATGTTTTTAAATGGAGGTGGCTACACTTACCCGATTCGGTTCGGTACGGTCCGGTTCGGCGCGGAACAATCGTCCAGGGAGCATTCATCCGCATTTTGGCGGAAGCATTCGGGGCGGACCGGACCGAATCGGACAAGTGTAGCCACCTACTCCCGAAATTCGGATGAGGATCGGGGGGTTCCGTGAGCGCTCGGCTATGAAAGTGATGAATTAAATTAGGAAAAATAGTTATTTCTAGGACATAGGCCTAAGAATTTAGGCAATAATGTTCATATATTGCCTCGATCATGGAAGACGATAATTATGTCTACACGACCGCGGAAAATAGTCTGAATTTTGCCGCAATATCGGGAGACGATTACAATGTCTACACGGCCGCGACGGATTATAGGAAGTTTACCGCGATTGCATGCAAATACAACCACCATTTCTTTTATTTTTCAATTTTTTGGCACCCCCCAAAAAAGCCAATTGCCTCGCGCCCTAGGCACGTGCCTATTCGGTAAATCGGCCCTAGCTAAACACCTTCTGTATTGCTGCACTTGTGCCTAGTGCTCCTGTGTGTCCTCCAAAATATTGTACAAGTTTAGCTACCTCTTCCGGCCGGACCGAAACGATTCGTACAAGTGTAGCCACCCCTCACAAATTTGTGCCGGACCGAACCGAACCGGACCGGACCGAATCGGGCAAGTGTAGCCGCTGCTTAACTGTGATCAATAATAGTCTGATAAAATATAGACTGGCCAGTGCCAGCTTACCATCAGTAACAATATTAATTTCTTCAAGCTCAAAATATTCCAGCAGCAGCAAACCTGCAGAAGAAGCGAATCTCAATAATTTGTCTGATTGGATGTTTACTCAAATATTTCCATTATAAAAACAAAGCATTTTCCATTTCTCATTTAAATAAAATTAGATCATTACACTTTTTTTACATTAGTTTATTTTATGCTAAATAGGCAAGTTTTTAATGCTCCTTTCTCAATATTTCCCCCGCCTTTTAGTTTAAAACATAGGTAGTAAAATTGTATGGTCCCATTAAAATACAATGTTTATATTCTAAAACTTAATCTCAACACTTTAATGTCAAGAATCATGGGTCATTCAGCTGCTATATTTAGAGATAAATTAGAGAGAACAAATTAAGAATGTGGTTCATAATTTAAAACACTTTATAAAGATTTCAGTAGATTAACAACTAACAGTATAACATAATTGATTTGATGTTAACCAGCACCATACACTGTTTCTATTTCTTCTACGGTTCCAGCACAATTTATTCTATACTTGGATAGAAATCTATATTTTCAATTCGCTACCTACATACGTTTTAGCGAATTTCCCATACAGGGAATAAGCTATTACCTTAGGTCTCATGGTAAGACCTGGACCCGGGACTGATTAATTTTTTCGTTTTAATGTCCCCAAAGGTCAAAAGCACTATCTGTTCCAAAATTCATTCATACAGGGTGTCCAAAAAGTCCTGGGTAGGTTAAATATTTTTAAAGTAAAGCTACAAAACTTTGCAAAAAGTTATTGGACATAAAAATATATTTTATCACATACTCAGTAATTCGCTACTTCTTCAGGGTCAGTAGAATCCTGCTAAAAGTAACTCAAATGTTCTTTTGAGCTCAAATTTGCAGCATTGTATTCTACTAATAAAGCCCTTTAATTTGATGTCATATCGACCTATGCATACGTTTATGATTTTCTTACAACTTCTAACGGTTGCCATAAGGGTAGCGTTTGATAACATTGCAAATTCAATGATGCATCTTTAAATAACTGTCATTTTGGACTCTAAGACCATTTGAGTTCTGGTTTGCGCCATTGTATTTTACTAACAGAGACCATTTATAACATTTAAGATTTTCTTCTGACTCCTAGCGGACCGTCCCCCTGAGGAAGTAGCGGATCACTGAATATGTGATACAATAAATTTTTATGTCCAGTAACTTTGTGCAAAGTTTTTTAGCTCTATTTGAAATATTTCAAAAATATTTAACCCCACGATCCATGAATTTTTGTACACCCTTTATATTCATTGAAAATAACAACCTAAGAAACAACACTGCCTAAGTGACAAGAAGCAAAATTTTCAGAAGAGCGAAAAAACCTTGCCAATTGCACCTACAATAATTTAAAAGGATGGCATTACTTCAGATTTACATTATATTGTATTAAAAAGAGTTTTACTCTAGACGAGACCGAGTATTTAGTTTCACTCAAGAGTTTTACTGATCGTGTATGGGCTCAATATTAGGCCTATATTTGTTTAGTCAAAAGCAGGAAAATTTCTATGCCTACGCCTGTGTGACTCGGAGTTCAGACAATTGTAGAAACAAACATAATACATAAGGATTTAAAAAGTTTCACAACAATTACACTGTAGGGGGTTTATCAGCAACAATAGCCTTCAAGAGGTATAACAACCAGGTTGAACTTACCAGGTCTTTGCTGAGCAGAGTAGCTGCGGAGGGGGGTGGGGGCAGCAGGGACACGACCTCTCACAGGCTCTAGACAAGCATGCAACAATGCAACATTCATTGGCTACAACACAGAGCGAGACACACTACTGGGTGGACATCAACAACATCAAAACAAACTTTGGATAGTTATTCTGTTTTCTTAAGCTGGGTTTTCCAATTTTTGTTACTTATTTGTGTAGTACCTCAGAGTAATAAAACAGAATTTTGTTTTATTACTCTGGGGTAGTAAGTAAATTTGTGAAACCTACACACACAATACAAGAAACAAAAATAACATAGTTTTACCAAAAAAAAATCTGGAAATATTCAAAACTAAGCTCTCATAGTCAGGCGTAAGGGTTTTAAAGCTGATTCCCAAATAAATAAAAGATATGAATAACACTACAAATTTTTGTCCAACACTATTTTGACAGAAAAGCCCATTTCTATAGATGATTTTTTTCTGAACATACAGCTAGCTACGGATGGTTTTATTTTTTTAGGTTTAGTATATGAATAACCACGATGTGATAGTGTGGTGGGGGGGGGGACCTCCCACTACTCAGTGAAGGGGGGTGCTTTTAGTGGGTATGCCAGAGATTGGATGGTTGGTGTGAGTCCGACGCTACCCTCAAGGACCGAGGGTGTGCGTAACTGCATTTTACACCTCACTATAAAAAAAATAAGCTGGCACTTAATTATACATTATGTACATATAAGAAGAAATAAAGATGATTTGAATTAGTATTATTAACCTATTAAAGAAGTGAGCTGCAAGGTTACCGCAAAGAAAAACATATTTGAAACTGTCCACCCAGAATTGTGCATAATCATGCTGCATGAAAATATTTAACATTTAAGCTATAATCACAGTCAGTAACAGCAGTTATCAAGTACAACTGATCCAAAGTACGTATGGCATATAAAATAATTCTTTACAGACAAATTTTTATTTGACAATCAAATTTATGAGGAAAATGTGCAAAAAGTTCTCTTAGATCATTTATGTAGGTAAGTTTTTTTTAGAAAATCAGGTTATTTTAATTCATTAAGTATGTAGGTGTATTTTGTAAATTATTCTAAATTTTAAAATAAGTAAAACATGTTCTAAAAGATATAGAATTTACTATATACTTGTATATAATATTTAGGAATTCAGCATCCTATTAACTGGTTAGCCAATAAGCTGGAAAAAACTGATAATTTAGGACAAGATTGGTTAAAGTAGCATAATCATGTTTCTATTCTATTTTCGTTAAAAACATAAATAGCTTTGTAAGTTCCTATTATGGAAAAAATTATATTGCTTCTCATAGTATCAATATTCTTATTGGTACATTTTTATTTGCCATACATTGTTCGTTATATATGAGATAAATTTCTTGATCAGTTATATACGTAAATAAGTGAAAATAATGAATAAGCACCTTTGAAGGTGACGGTAGGTTTAGTGGAAGGGTACCACCAATGTCTCCACCACCAGTAGGGGTCTCTAGTCCATGGTCGGTAGTGGTAGCTAGTGTCCACCGATGGTGAGGGAGGCTGGTATCTGTACAATGGTCGATGGATGCTCGGGTCAAAGTGCTGGTTACTAAAAACATTTTGCTTCTTCTGCTGATGTTTTAAAATTGAAGCAGTTTGTCTTCTTATAGGAGAAGAAGAAGCTGAACGAGTTTTTGGAGAGCAAATGGGGGATCGTTGTGTTTCTGGTGACGAAAGAGATCTAGGTTTTGGATACTGGTGTGCTACCCAGTTACATTCCAAGTAAGGTGCAATATCTCGTAGTTCCCTGACATCGGGTGTTGACGTATACATCTGTCCAAGCAAAGAAAGTTCTTGCTGAGCTTCAAACTGATGGCGCAATCTGTCCACCTCTCCAGTTCTAAAAACACAGGGATCAGGTCTAGCTGGCGGAGTAGGCTGTGATCTTTGCTGTTGAAGAGTTGCCAATTTACTAATTACGTTGATATGTGGCATAAAACGGTTATCTGATTTTAGTGGAACTGGTGAAACCACTCTTGGAATTTTAGATCGACCCCTATGAGGATTGTGCTCATATCTCTTCTTCAGCCATTTCACATCTCCCACTTCTTGACCCCTAACTATTGTTTTGCATATAATTGGTTCCTTACGAGCAAAAAACTCACGAGTTAAGTCAGGGTCACTTTGATATCTCTTAGGTGGAGGACAAGGCTCATTTAAGTTTTCTTCGTCAGTAATAGTATACAAATCATCGAGACTTTCAAATTTGTCTCGCAACTTTCTAACATCACCAGCTTTTACCATACTGAGGTACGCTCTATAATATTTCATCGGATCTGGTGAGATGCTTCTTGATCTGATTGGAAGGCTCTCTTCACTACTGTGCAATCCTGAGTCTACCCCTTGGCTATTTCTTTCAGACAATTTTACACGGCATATGTCAAAGGTTTTTGGGTGCTTTAATTTCCTCAGCTGAGTTGTAGCATATTCGGATGCTCTCTTCTCTCCAAAAAGTTCTTTTATATCAGAAAATGACTGTGAAAGGGCAAGATTAGATTTAGATTTGTCTGTTGTAAATGTGCTTGGAGCACTTTTTGCTCTATGTTTAATTTCTTGGTGAAAAGATCTCATGTCTCCCACACTTCTTGACACTCTACCATCAAAAAGATCATTGTCTTTCCCTGTTTTCTTTTCAAAATAATTTACTTTCTTTTGTACATCTTCTCGACTCCCTAAGTGAATAACTGTACTTGCATCAGAACTTCCACTGTCTGTTTCACTGTTGGATGTTGTTTGTACCAATCTGGCCACAACTTTGTCATCTTGTTTCTGTGGTTTACTTTCTGCCCAATTATCTACAACTTTCCTTACCTCATGCAAATTATCATCTTTAGGAGTGAGTACTAATAAAAAATCCCTTTTATCGTGATCAATAAGAGATGAAGTTTGTTTAGTGAAGGATCCTTCTTCTGACATTTCAATAGAATAGCAAGTCCTAGGAGAAATATCTGAAGCTGAAGGACTTTTTGTTCTCACAGTTTGCTTGGATCCTTTAATAGCAGCAACAGCACCCATTGTTTCTCTAGGAATCACGATAGAGGAAGAAACTCTGCGTTTTTTCTTTTTTTCATCTGTGCATCTCTTTGTAACCCTATTTTTTACTTCTTGACTTAGAGTCATTGATAATTTTTTCTTCTCACTCTCTGACAAAGGCTTACCAAGAGATGACTGAGAGTGTGAACTATCACCTGATAAAGAGGAAGAATCTCTACTATCCTTCCAATTGGGAATTGAACTGATGGAATCTGCTTTCTTGCATTCTTTTCTCTGGGCTTCTCTCCTTTGGTTTAAGGGGGAATAAAGTTGTTCCTTGGTCAGTAGGGAATTGCATCTCACTTGAAGCTTTTCAGGTAGTTCCGCTCTACAATTTTCTTTAGGATGTATAACTATCTCACAATTTCTGTCATGAGATTTTCCTTGTAACATTCTATTTATTCTATCTCTTTTCAAACTAGACACTGTGGAATATATTTCACTTAGTTGATTCTTTAATGCATTCACCTGTTCCATAGATAAACTACTCCACAATCTACTACCGATTGATCGACTGACTTGATTGCTTGTAGCTCGATGAGTACTTGATACGGTTTGGTCTACTTCAGAAGCACTTCTATTTCTTTTTGTTCTATGGACAAGAGTATTAGCAAGATTAACTACTGAAGATCCTCTCCAGAGTGGTTTATAAGTATCTTTTGTTGCATTAAGGGCTTTTCTTTTGCAAAGTTCAATGTCCGAATCCTCATATGCCATTTTTTGAAACCGATGCCTTAAATCTTCCACAGATTTTTCTTTACTTCTTAAACCTATATCTCCTTTCCATTTAATACTTTCACTATCTTTTGGCTGGAAGAGCAAATCTTTTTCTTTTTGATCTTCTTTTAGTTTTTCATATATGTTTCGCAACTCTTCTTCGGCTCTTTCTTTGGTTCTGAGCTGTTTCCATCTATCGTAATCAATTACTTCCTCCCCTTTTTTCCTTGGGCGAAGATCAGTGTTTGAGGTAGTCCTTTCTAGTTCACCCATTCTCTCCAAGCTTGCATAAAACTTATGTAGCTCTTTAAATCTATCAGACTTTTTTGTAGAGTGTAATAGTTCCATTACATAAGTTTGGTAATCGTGGTGATCTGTCAGATGAGCTAAATTTAAAGAGCTTGTACTCTGAGTCTGAACTTGTGGAAAAGATCGTTTGGAATCTGCCTCACTCAGACTCTTTGTTCTAACCCCTTTCCTTTTCAGACCACCAATACTCTCAATAGTCTTTATGGCACTTCTAGTGCTTCGGATTCGTCTACAAGAAGGAGATCTACTGTGTGTTGGGGACATGTTCTCATAATCCCAGTGTGCATTATTAATGCCTTCATAAATGTCTTCTTGTGGTTCATTTTGCTGGGTTGGTGATGTTCGCGGTGGTTCACTTGAACTACGTTCTTTATAAAGCTCTGGGCTCCTACTTCGATATTCTAAGGGGGAATAATATCCATTTGACCTATCCCATACATTATTTATACGATCAAATTTATCAATCTTCTCTAAAAACTCATATCTTCTGCTTCTATTAAATAACGGGCTTTGAGATCTTGATGATCTGTTACTTGTGATTTCTCTATCTAGGCTCCGGAATTTTGATTCACTTACTGGTTTCTTTTGACTCAAATAAACATTAATTAATCTTAATGATGGTTCTGATCTATATGGCAAACTAGAATGTTCGTTACTCCTGTAAAACTTCTTAGCACGTTCTAAAACTGAAGTGTTTCTTTGCAAAGTACTTACATTTGAAGGAGTTGGAGATGGAAGATTTCTGAGTAACAGATTTTGAAAGAAACCCTTGCCTGGCATTGATGTGATATTTACATCTGGAAACTCTGAAGAAGATATCTGTCCAACAGGAACTACTACAAGACGGTCTTTGCAGCCCGTTGAAGGATCACTCTCAGATGGATTTTCAGATATTCTTTTCACATTATTCTTCTCACGACTCTTCTTTGTACTACTTTTTTTTGTTAACTTCTTTGAACTAGGTGGACTATCTCCATCTTTAGATTTTTTTGACTTCTTCTTTCCGTTATTATCACTATCGTTGTCTTTGGTAGACTTTTTGTTTGACCCGTTTCTTAAAAGAGGAGATTTTGAAACCGAAGCGGATCCAATTTTATCCTTCTTTTTCTTTGGAACTTCTGGTGAACTATCAGCCTTTTTTATTTTCTTTATTGGATCACTAGATGGGACAGGTGATACCACAACTGTCGGTAAGGTGGTTATTTTCCCAACAGGTGACTTTATATCTCTAGCAACAGGAGAGTTTTGACCTGTGCTTCGAGAGCTCGGCCTTTTGTCACTATCTGATTGTGAGAGTGGTCTTGGGCTTTTTGAACCTGTTGGTGACAAAGAGGTGATTGGCTGAGAACCAACAGAAGTACTAGCCACAGTTGCTGCTGCTGATGACGGTGAAGTTATTGTTGAACTTGTATTGTCTGCTTCAGTCTTTTTATGCAGTTTTAGATCATCTTTTAAACCAGATGAGGAAGACACTGATGAAGATAAAAGTTCTCTCCCTTTTGCTGATATTGCTACTGTTACTTTTAGTTGCTTATCTTCCTTTGGTTTCCTTAAGCCTCGTGAGGATGAACTGTAAAGTGTTGTTGAGCTTTTAACTACTGTACCAGGAGGTAGACTTTTAGATGTAGAAGAGCGTTCTTTCACTTCTCGCTGTTTTAAAACTTTCTTGACTTCCCCAGGTGATCGGAGTTCAGTTGATTTAGCAAGGCGAGCTGTTACATCTTGATCTATTCTAGACCGTGGGGCAACTGATGATTTCCTTTCTATTGAGGTTTTTCGAGTTACTTTTGTCTCACTGGCAGGAGCAGCTATTACAGTTGTTTTTACTGTGGGACTGAGTGAACCTGTTCTTAGTATTACTCGGTTTCCTTTTTCAACTTTTGTATCAGATATAATTTGATCTTTTTTCTTTTGCTTATTAACTTTGCTGTCAATACCAACTCCTAATTTTGATGAGATTCGATCTTTCAAGTACTGTACATTCGAATCCACTTCTACTCCACTTGATGCTGATCGAGAGAGACGAGCTTTTTTGGGAGATGGTGATATAGACATTTTAGAATAAAGCCTGAGTGTCGAGCTATTGTGAGATGACCTTCGTTTTGGGGGCGAAGGAGGTCTTGCAGCAAAAGATTCTGAAGAAGAAAGTAAATTTGAGCTGGTCTTGGCAGATCTTTTATAAGTTGAAAACACTGGAGGTGGGTTATCAACTGTGATTGATGTTATTGGATAGCAAATTACTTCATTGACAGGCTTGATTACTTGTTTATTCTTGTGAATCCTTATCCTGGTAAGATGAGGAGAGATAGGGAAGTATTCAAGATCTGAGTCGTCAGGCCCTTGATAGAAACAGTAAAACAGACTTGATTAGAGAAATCTGTGATTCATAGTGCGCAAGTGTGGTTAAGGTGTCAGGTGAAAACATCCTTTTATTTTTTTCTTCTTGAATTATTAAATTATTCTTCTCTGTGCCCTCCAATCTTGTGCCTTCATTTTTGTGCTACTTCCCCAAAACCATCCCGTCACCTTCTTACATGCTTTAGTCTACTTGACGTGTAATTTAATGGGGCGGGACTTGTTAACCTGATCAATGTCAACTAATTTTATATCATCAATGTAATAAGATGTGTATTATTTATTACTCAACCTACACCATGCATGAAAATTACTGATAAACATCACTAGTTACTTATAAACAAATCATAGCAGCATAACTTAAGTAATAAGCTAAGAGCTGTCAGCAGTTCGTTACCATAAAGGCTCACATAATATTGCTAGTTAAAATAAGTTCTAATGAAACTACATATTCAGTGCAACACAATATAGGCATGTGAACACTGCTCCATGCTGTTTCAGTGGGGTCATGCTCAGCACACACTCATGCTGGTCAATTTGAACACAGTTCAAACAATGTAGAATAACGTGCTGCTTCACTAGTTGATTTTATCAGTAAAACCTCAAACTTACTTGAGTCGTTATGTTTGCAGGTACCAGTACTGGTAATATGACAACCTTGAAACTTACTTATAAAATATATATCAAGGGGCTCTAGAGAGTAAATAAAACCTTTTATTTGCAATCGGAGGTATTTCTATAATAAATATTGAAATTATTTATTTTACAACAATTACTGTCAATTTTTTATGTAAGCATTTGTAAATTAATAAAAACATTTGAACACTTAAAATTCTTTGACTCCAAAATATATATATTCTTGACATCAAAAATTATTCTAAAATATATTTATAATGTATATTGTATAATTTACCAAAATAAAGGTGATGTTCACAAATAAGGGAAATATGCAGATGCAAACTAACAATCCACATAAAAGATATCATGATTACATTGCTATTATACACTTAAAAATAAGTCTGTGTACGCAATAAATATTTTGACAACAAGTGTTGTCTGAAAAAAAGTATTGTGTAAAAATATTTTGACAAAACTATCGTTTTTTGTTGTTGTATTATGTGAACTTTATACCACATATAAACTCTGGAGTAAATTTTCCTTAAATGTCTGATTTTTATATCTCATTAACAAAAACATATTTTCTCTCTATAACCACTCTTGCTATCTATATAGGCCTAGTCTGTCTACAGCAAGTTTTTATACCTACAGTTTAAATAATTAACTGTACAACAAACATTACAAATTAGAAAATGCTTCTGGTACTTAAAAAGTTAAAGCTAACTTTTTTCTTGCTTCTACTTGCTTAGCTTGTGTGTACCAACCTGAAAACTATAAAAATAACCGTTTTCAATGAACTGTAGAAAACCCTGTATTCAACTGTTTCCAAGATGGTTAGATGACTTCCACTCTAATAAATCAGTCCAACATCTTTTGGAGATGCTCACTAACTGTAAATAATGTTTTTGCTGAAATGCGGGTATCAAATAAATATAATAAAATGTAACGTAATATAATGTAAAATATTGGAATACAACTATTTAATGAATCATTAGGCCACTTACCTTTGGGCTTTTCAGGCACAGGTTTGCGCAGCCCGTGCAGGGGAACGTCCCCGCCCTTTTGTATCACTTTGTACGCTTGTTTCTGTTCTGCGGGAGACAGCTGTTGCTGAGTCTCGTCTCTGCGTTTGAACACCAGAGTCGAGTCACTCTCGTAGCCTGATTCCTTCAAGGCACTGTCATACAACAACACTTGATTGACCTTTGATGCTTATGATTATTGCTCATACAAGGGTTGTTATTAAATTAAGGTCTCCTTCAAACTCTCCCAGCCAGAGCCAAGTGAGCTAATATAAATCTGCGACCAATGCCGTGTTCTTGACTTCATCCTCTACTATTCTAGTTGGTTCCAGCCTCACTGTGCAAATATTTACGGCTGTTTAAGATCTCCTTAAGGCAATAATACACATGTTCTGTGTCATAACACTTTCCTACATACTAATTTGTCCACTGGGCACTGGCAATGGATCTCAATAGTGGCTGACGCCCTAGTCTAGTCCCGGGTAATTCACACTACTTGATTGTTACTTGGCAGGAGTGCATAGATTTTCCTTCATGACGTTTATGACAACTATGGGAAAAATAATAGTTCTATAAAGGTGGGAAAGAGCAAGAGTATAATAGTGGATAAAGTAGAGAAGACAACACTTGCCTCATGAACTAGCTTGCTTGGCCATAACAGGAACTCTTTGAAGAGTTTAATATAAGGTCTAAGGTCAAGCCTCATATTTAAAGAAATAAAATGTTGTTAATTCTTTTTTTAAAGTAAATTTTTAAATGTTGTGGAATTTATGACTAAAGAGAGCAAGTAATGCAGTGTATGTCTGGTCATAAGTGTTGAATAAAATTACCCTTCAAAAACTACATCATAATGGTGATTGAATGATGCCTATTTGAGGTTCCCAACTCAAACGGTAAGGGAATAAGAGATAAATTAAGATTATTTAAGAATAGGTAATGGTAGTTTTTTTTATGAAAAAGCCTATACAACTATGGGAGAAATACATGTAATGTTAAAATAAATGTCATTTTTGAAATCCTCACAAAATTCACAATAAGAATAATACATAAACATTGCGGTGTTGAATGAGATTCCACTTAAGTGTCATCTTAAGGGGAGCATGCCGTGAGATGGGTAAAAAAAATTGATTTTTTGAAAATGCTTTAAACTTATTGCCCGTTTTATGCTGTTTAAGAAAATATATAACACTATATACATAACTTGTATATTTTCAGCTAAATAAAACAATTAAATAATGTTTACACATGTTTGGCGCTAGGCCTACTAGCGTGCTCTCCTGAGATGCTCATTGTTTTCACACAAATAGTAACCATCTATCTAAGTAAATTTAGTATATAGTATAACTAGTAAACACCAAGGAGTATTTCATTTGTGCTGTAGGTAGCACTGAATATTTACAGATTATCTGCTGGCCTTCTACTTTGTTTGTTTACCTAATGTTTACATCAAATTACATCTGTCGTCTATCCCAGTGATTGTTGATTGTTGTTGTTGTTAGGATTTTATTCATTTGGTGTTTAGTTTAGAGTTTTGTCGTTACTTTCAAGTAAATTAGGCCTAGTTTTTCATCAAAATGCCTATGATTAGAAAGTTTGGGAAACACAAGTTTAGAGGAAATAAATTGCTAAGGCAAATGTTTTGGAACGGGTAGGAATCAAACCAGGAAAGTTTACTATTATTATATAGTTTAGGCTTACAAAAATTTACCAAATCAGAATAAAAAAAGCTGACAGAGAAGTTTAGGAAGAAAATAAAAAGCAAAGAATAAGAAGAAGGTTAACAAAAAGGAAACTAGAAGACAGTCTCTGTGTTGAATTCTTGCCAGGAGGTTTTCTAGTGCACTAGTGACAGTAGGCCTATTCGTGTTCGTGTTTAAGTTCAATTTCCCGAAACTTCTGTTTTTTAGTGTTTAGGTACCGTTTCTATGGAAACCGTCATGAGTAGAGACTTGAAATTTTCACCAGTTGTTTCTGCTAGATTGTTGAGTAGAATGATGCAACTATGTAATATTATCTTCATTATAAATGGTATAAATATTTTTATTTTCATAAAAAAATAATAAAAAAATGTATATAAAATTTTTTAAATAATATATTTTTCTAACTATTTGCCATAAATTAATTATTTTGCATGGTTATACTGTTTCATATGTATAGGAGCATCAAAAAAAATTTCAGATCAATACCTCATATATTTTTTGAGATATTGGTACCGATATAGAAGCTTGTTACCCCATATAATTAGCATTGTGGCCTAACTCACAGCGTGCTCCCCTTAAAAGTTGAACGTTTTTAACGAGGAATAAAACTTGATAAATATTAAAAACCTTATTATTCTAGGTTGTAAAAGTTCCGCTGAAGACATAAAATAATAATCAAAAACTTCCTCATCAAATAAGCTGCAAAATGATGTATAATAACCTTTCTTTACTGTCACATTGCTGATGATTTTGTTAATATTGCTAAGCCTACAGTAGGCCTACCCAAACATCAGAAGAAACCCCAATTTTGAGTGATTAGCGCTTAAAATAGTATGTTAAAAGTAAAACCGTAATATTTCAAATTACCAGTCTTTAGCATGACTATGTTTTTTCACTACGATTTTTTAAATACCGGGTGTCCCAAAAAGAATGGATCAAAAGTAAACTGACATGAACACTTTATTCTTAAAGATAAAAAGTTAACTTTATATACATTTTATTTCTTAACATTCTAAGTTTTTCCTAACATGATTTCACCGCCTAACCTCTACATATTCTCCGTTGTTCGCTCAGAGAAAGACAAAGCGGTGTTCAAGCTCAGACCACACATTGTGTCACATTTCATTGGATATTTTTCCAAAGGCTTCCCTTATCTTTGGTTTAAGTTCATCTAAGTTTGAGATCGACAAGTTATACACTTGATCTTTCACAAATCCCCATACAAAAAAATCACAAGGCGTAATGTCTGGAGATCTAGGAGGCCACCGTATGGGACCGCTACGACCAATCCAACTGTCTGGGAAGGTTTCATCCAGTGACTCCCTCACAAAAAAATAATAATGTCCAGTGCGGAGGAGAACCATCTTGCTGGAATATCACGTTTGGTTGGAAAGCCTCTAATTGAGGATAGGCATATAGTTCTCCAACATGTCGAGGTACACGTTTCCAGTAACTGTTTGCTCATGAAAGAAATAAGGGCCTACCGTACCGTTGACCTTTTTCGTGGCCGATGTTTCCAGAATCCTTAAACTGCCTGTACCATCGCTGGATAATGTTTCTGGATGGTGGATTTACATTGTATACAGTCCGAAATCTTCTTTGTACTTTAACCACTGATTTAGTCTCAATGAACCACTCGAGGCACTGTGCTTTTAACTGCACATCCATAATGCAACTGTGAGGTTTGTTTATGTTTTGAAAATTCAGGCGTGCTCACAACAATGAACAGCTGATTTTTGTTGAATCATACTAAAAAAAACGTAAAGATGCCAGCTTTAAAATAAGCCATACTTGACTTTCCTACGACCCTCAATAACACGTATATTAAGCTGTAGATTTGATCCATTCTTTTTGGGACACGGTGTATATTTCCGAAATAATTCTGTGCAAATTTTGAGGGTTAATTATTTTAGCAATCAATATCAGAGCATTTAAGGTGACCTCTTTGAGACTAGAAATGCAGTTTAATACTTATCTTGCATCTTGGTTTACTACAAATATCAGTAATCAGTTCAGCAATCAATTAAACTGGTGGGTGTAATTGAGGGAAATACATCAGCATAACATGTTATTTTAGTGTGTTTTTTTATTATTTCGGTGGGAAAATATAAAAACTTTTATATACAATTTATATTCAAAATCATACAATATTATTTATGTTGGGGTATGAATTTTACAATGCCAATGACTCTTCAGATTTGTGATCGACCAAAATTTACAATCTTTGCCAAAAGTCAAGGAAACTTGATAGTTTTAGCAATATGTGTTCATTAACCATACACACCACTTCACTAGTAGATGTAATGCATTTGTGAGTAGTAATTTTCTGCCAATTAACAGATAATAAAACTATTGATACGAACTACCAGAACCTGTTTTTAAGTTAAATGTTAAATTTTCCTCAAGAAAATAAGTAAATCACTCCATTGCCCTTTCCCTGCATCCAAACCCACTTGTGATAATTAGCAAGGACCATCACTTGTCAGATCTATTAAGGTGTTGCATGAAACTACATGGTCAACAAGTTTTTACGATACCCACAGTATAATGTTAGCAGATCATCCCAAATAGCTTGTATGGCAGTGAGCTGGTATGGTTAATGATACTGACTAGAAAGGGTATGGGACCTATACCAAAGGGTATGGGACCTATACCATTAGATATTTTTTTTGGGAGAGGTTTTCAATGTTATACAATTTTAGCGATATATGTATAAGATAAGATATAGCTAAGTCAAGTTCTATTGTAGTGACACTTTTTCTTTTTGTAAGTAAAACAACTTTTTAAATAAATGTTGAGTTTTCCATGCAGAATTCGGCTGCTAGAAAACGCCTTGAGCGTGCCCTTCTGTATGCCCTTTGTATTACCGTAAATGCACAGCATATTGGGCAGCTAGATATATTGGGTATTTTGGGACACAGGTTGGGCAGCTAGAAAACCTCACCTACAGAAGTTTGAACTGTTTCTTATCTCTCCCAAAATCTGTAAAACTCCGTAATTCAAACATATCTTCAAACATCTTAGTTAATTTTTTTTATTTTATTTTTTTTAATAGGGAAAGTGTAATTTTCTAAGAGGTTTTTTACACTGTTGCTATATTTATCAGACTATGTTATACTGTTAATTCTATGTCAATGTTCATCTATCTACAGTATTACCATTGACTATTGGATACTGAAGGTATTACGGATTAGTCATGCATTAAGTGTTAGGTGCAAAGCTACTTACTAAGTCATGAAAGGCTTGCTTGTGCCAGTAGTGGCTGGTGTGTGAGTTCGAGGAGAACTTTTCTGCGTCTGTTCAAATTGCTGAAACAATTATTCTATGCTAAAGTGCTATAAAGCGGACTTTCCGGAAGACCATGTAATGTAGTAGCAGACTTTTCACATTGGTGCCACTTGGGGCGGTGCTATCGCCGCCATCTTAGTACCTTAGTGTTCCTACTTCCTATACTCAATGAGCATAGAGCTACAGGAGCGTGAATATCGTCATATCTCTTGTACTTTTACTGCAATGGAGTATTAAAATGAGTGCTGTCATTGCAATGTACCACCATTTGTAAGGTGAGCTCTCTGATCATATTTTTATTTGCAAATAAGATTTACACGCCAATTTGAAATTATCAAAGGTTTGTGATTTACAGCAAAGGAATAATGAGTGAGGTCTGGGTGAGAAATTATGCATTGGCTTAAAATCATGGCTTAAAACTTGGTTTCCACTTTAGTCGTAGTCTTTCAGGAAAGTCAGTTCTGCAGCGAGTCTCTGTTTCTGTGATCATCAATTAAGATATTGGACCCTTGAAGCATAACATTTCTGGTAGCCAAACCTGTGTCATCAATTTCATGAACCAAACTCTGTGAAATTTGGGGAAGATTTTCTATGAAATCAAATCAAATCAAATCAAAATCATGTTTATTTCAGGAAGCAAAATACATTTGTTACAATACTTTGTCAGTAAAAGTTTTATGGTTTTGCTATAGTTATGTAAAATATACTGACATAGTCATCATGAGTTTTATATAATATAAAAAAAACTATGATTTTCATAGATTTCACTGTTATTAATTTCCCTACCAATTCAACAGCTACTAGACTAGACCTAACACTGGTCCTGATTGTGAATATTCATTCGGATATTTTTTAAGTTGATGCTCCACTGTCTCACACATCACTCCTTTTTGTAAACAACAAAAAAACAGATCACAGAGCACATTTCACAACTGGCAGGATTTGCAATGACAGAGCTAATTTTGACACTACACTGCAGATAAATTACGAGATACCATGATGTGTGATGTGTACGCTTCTGTAGCTAGATGCATACTAAGTCTAGGAACACTCAGGTGACTAAGATGGCTGGGATATCACTTATACAGCTTTTACTACCCCCAGCAGCACCAATGCAAACAATATGTCTCCTTGGGTGATTGTGGTTTGTTTTTTAATATACGAGGCATGTTTTTTAAGTAAGTACCGTTTTCAATCTCTCCGTTCCAGCGCTGCGATTGGCATTTTGGACATTTGAGCTGAATATGTGCATCTATTGGCAAGCCCTAGCCGGAAATTCAACAAAAATCGGCCGTGTTTACATCCGGTTTCGAGCATTCAAAATGGTGCCGCCAATTGAGACTGCCGCCGACTAGGAAGTGTGCGCTGTAATTCGATTTTTAAGTGATATAGGTGTGAAAGCCATTGAAATTTATCGACCGATTAGTGAGGTCCCACCAACGTTCATGATGAGCAACACACTGGGTACTGGGGACAGTGCCGCCACCTAGTGCGTTGCTCATGATGGACGTTGGTGGGGCCATATTTAGATGCCCTTACCCACTTGCATACCATTCCGTCACTAATAATGTTCTCACCAAACACTTAACTAATCTGTCAATAAATTTCAATGGCTTGAAGCCTTTAGCACTTAAAAATCAAATTGCAGCGTGCACTTGCTAGTCGGCGGCAGTCCCAATTGGCGGCACCATTTTGAATGCTCGAAACCGGATGTAAACACGGCCGATTGTTGTTGAATTTCTGGCTAGGGCTTGCCAGTAGATGCACACATACAGAGCAAATGTCCAAAATGCCAATCGCAGTGCTGGAAAGGAGAAATTTAAAAACGGTACTTACTTAAAAAACATGCCTCGTATTTTAAAAAGAAAGGTCATTATTACTTCATACTACAAACATTCTACATTATGACTTGTACATTTTTTAAACTTGTTGAAGATTGCATTTAAAATCAGAAAAGTCTAAAAAAAATTAAACCAGAACAAGTAAACTATAAGTTATCCGTTTGTAATAGATTTTTTAGTAAACAAGATCAGTGTTTGGCAAGCTATTCTTAGGGATTATAATATGTTTAAAAATTCACTCTGCTCATTGAAATTTCCACAACAATCCATTGATACAAAACCATGGTTTGAAAAGTGTGCTGAAAAATCCCAGCAGCAGACCTGTTACATTATGATGGGTCTGTTTAGAGTGTGACATATAAAAGACTGTTTGGATATATGAAACACTATATGCAAATCGATCACTGAGTGTGACTAAATCTTTGGTTCTAGGACTAACCTATCTAAACATCGTTGAAATTTCAATTCAATCAATCAATTTATCAATGAGATGGTGATGTCTAAAGCCAAATCACACAATAAGTGTTGATTTGTTGCAAATGGAGTACCTATTTAGTTTAGTTTGTTAGTTTTTCCCCATTTCCCATTAGTTCTTATAAACATGAAAACCAGGGTTGTTCAACCAACTGGCTTAAGCATTACAGTAAAAGTTTTTCTTTAGTATTATTATACTGAGAAACATTCGTTACCATTATAGGTTTATTTTTCTGAACCATTCACCTTAGTTTCATAAACTCAATAGTAGTAGTACTGTAACTTACCCCGTCAAAAATGTCCATCACTTCATCCCACCACTGAAAAAATGAAAATAATCATTACAAACTGAAGATAAATTTCCTCACATGCCACTAATGGGGTGAATGTGTCTGATAACCAATCAGACAGACACACGTAATGAAAATCTCAGTCAAGGCGGTGCACTTTTTGGGTAGCTTTTAAGTAAGTAGGTAGGTAAGAGTGTAAAATATTAATGTTCCGGGTATGTTCAATTAAATCAATAATTTATTTAAACATTGGAAGCATGTAAGGTGTAGTAGCCCTTTGGGAATCAGCCTGTGGGGCAGAGTCCTTGGAAAATTTGTTCATACACATATTGCAAATCTAAACAATCTAAGCTTCATTTTGTGTTATATGCATATATATATATATTTATTTGGTAAAAGGCCTTAAATGACGACGTATCTTCCTCTAATACAAGGTTGGTGTGTAGCAACGTCGCAATGGCATGCATATTGCCATAGTAATAACAGAAATAGCAAAAGTGTAAACATCAACTTTGTCTATGTGCTCCGTTATAAATCAGTGCGCAACAGCTGTTTCGGGTTGCTGGGACAGTGGTGTGGCCTCTTTTGTCTTACTGCGACCTGGGGCCCATTTCATAATAAACTACAAGTTACAAGTTACAACTTGTAACTTGTAATTTCCATTAGATTTGCATTGGGCGATCAGCTGATTTACTAATAATATTAGTTTGTACTTTATTATGAAATGGGCCCCTGATGGTATTAGAAGAGTCTATGGCGAGGACCACAAACTTGACTGTATTACTTTAAAATAAAATAATATAACTTGATTAAAAACATCTGATTCTGTAAAAAAATCCCATAACAATAAAAACATTAGTATGAAAGCAGAGGGGTTTTACTATTTATTAACACTACCGGTACGTAAAATCAATTTTTGAGTGTTTCAAGTCTCATGATTCATTTAAGAAAACCACTCTGAAAATTTAAGATCAGATATAATACCAATAAAATATTGAGCACTAAACTAATACCATAGACTAAACAACACAAGTAGACTCCTCATCCCATTGTAAATTTTAAAGCTTGTTTTTCGTGTCTAGTTCATGTACGTCCACCCTGATCGCTTGGGTAGACAAAATTTTGTTTCATTAATTTAGGGCTATTTTCATGATTTGTGCTGTACTATTTGGTTGTATAACTAGGAGACCAGTTATTGTTTATGATTATATCAGTTAATTTGGTTAAATGAGGTTTTAAATGACTGAAATAACAAGAAACAAATTGTAAACAAAATACAACCTCTATAGTACAACGTACAGAACTAACAATAAAATTGGCTTCAGCTGTTCCATACGGATGGCAAATATACTGAGGGAGTATGTTTTATCCATGCTAATACTTTCATGTTAAAGTAAATAGATTATTCCCTATATGGGAAATTCGCTAAAACACAGAGCAGGGCAACTATACGCAACTAAATATAAGCTTGCGTTTCAGTGTAAGTGTGTCACATTATGAGAAGCAGATGCCTTTTAGATAACTCAAGTGGAAGGTACTTACAGACCTAGATGGCTTCATGTGAGTTGTATTAGTGCCTCTTATCATTGTTCACTACAGTGGGCTTGCGAGATAACATTGGAATGCAGAGCCTACCTCAATTAGCCATCATCTCAAGGCAAGAAACTTTCAGATATCAAACTGTGTGTAAGTATGAGGTTCACATTACGAGTTGTGTGTGTGTGCATATATTTTATGTTTGGTTTTTAGTGTGTTTCGTCTGAAGCATGTCTTAACCAGTTTTATTTTAAGTGGGATATTTTGGATCATTTAAATAACCTGTGTTATGAAAATCACCTCCAAATTGAAGTACAGTATAATTACTTAAATACCCCTGCCGCAGCAAACCTGCAGACTAAGCGAATTTCCATTTGCTTGATTGGATTTACACAAAAATGTCTCCTTAAAAATATCACATTTATTCCCAATTTAAATAACATTAATTTAACGAGTACTTAGGTTTGATGCAACAGGGAGGGTAAAAATGTATTTTTTTTGTAAAATGTTAATAGTTTAGAATGAAATGAATGCATTTTCCAAATTTGATCAAAATATGTTCATAAACAAGCAAACTACAACAGTTTACTTATTCTCCTTAAGAATAACATGGGAATTTTAAATTTACAGTTTTTTGGAATTTTATCCGTAACCATTAGGTGCATAATAACGCTTCAACATACTAAATTATTTGTTTTTTTAAGCTCTACAAAATGGTTTGGAAAGAAAATGTTAAATTTTAAGTTTTTAGGGTTAAAAATGGGAAAACCAATTTTCACTTCATAAAACCCCCCATAAACACCTGTCCCCATAGTCCGATCATGCTGGTTCGCGAACTTGTTTAAATAAACCTAGGTTTACACATTTGTACCAAATTTCATCAAAATCGGATGAGTTTTGTTTGAGTTATCGCGCTAACGGACACATATATAAATATATATGTATGAATTTGAACGGATGGTGTTTTTGGCCTCTAGGGACCTCAAAACGAAAAAGTAAATCAGTCCCGGGTCCAGGTCTTACCATGAGTACTACGGTAATAGCTTATTCCCTATATGGGAAATTCGCTAAAATAGTAGCCTAATGGTTCAAAATCTATAACTCAAAACTTAAACCTTGACTTTATAGTCATTTAATTAAAATGTGGACATGACTAGACGTTCTTTAATATAGAATATAGATGATAGATGAGTTTGCGATGGGTGATAGGTGCAGATGTTCTGTAGTTGAACTACTACTAAGATTTTGATGGGTTGAATCTGTACCCAGCTGTCCCCACTGGGCTTTTAATAAATGGTCCTGACTTATGAAAAAGTTGTACTTAGTCAGTAACAAAGCTACACAGATCATCACACTCCATTCTACACTCATCCTTCGCTCATATTTGGGTTAAAAAACACACCGTAGGTGGGGTCCCCATCTCAATTGATAATGATAATGATAATGATCAGGTGTTTCTTTTAGTCCGGACCGTCATGGCTTCGCTCACGAAAATTTGAATTAAAAAGTTAAATGCTCAACCTGAGTAGGGCCTACACTTCTTGATTTTTTTATTCATTTAACTATTAAAAATCTGGCATGCAGTAAAACAATTTTTCAAGCCACAAAAATAATGTAAATATTTGCATTTTATGTAATAAAATATAACCAGCCATTCCCTATTAGTTAATAGTGCAGATTCAAAAGTATTCATGTGTTCAAATGTAAACAAATCTTTTCTCTATAAGGATAACATGGAAACGTTAAAAGGCACTGGGACAGAGTCCTGATGGCATTTCTTAAAAATGCTTCTTAATACACACCTACGGTTGATTTGCACCTCCATGCCAATTCCTGAATTGTTATGGCTTGTAGTTTTTGAGATAAAGGTATCAGTGAGTGAGTGGTATTTGACTTTTATAAGTATAGATTGCCCAATGATCAGTACAGATGGTTCCAGTCTTATATTATCATCAAGCTACTGACTTCTCTCAGGACTAAACCGTTAAACTGTATAACACAAGCACAGCTTACCCAGAATTAGTTTGAAAATGCAGTAAAATAAGTAAAAATAAGAATGGTTAATTAAATACGTACATCTACCTCTTATATCTAAAGGTTGCCTGTTTGATTGTTGATGATAACAAAAGAAAACTACATTTTTGTATGTTTGATTTTTTCATCCAAACTGATCTTGATCATGTCACTTTTTATGTACAGATATAACAAAAAATTTGGTAGACTCTATTCAGTAGTAAATTTACTATTGATCCAATCATTTTTACTTTCTCCCCCTATACTATAGTATATGGAGAAAGTATTGTTTTGTTTATTGTTATGTAAACTAAATTCATGGAAAATATAATATTATAATGTGAGAAATAATTTTAAATGTTGTGTTTATCAAATGTTAATACAAACATTCTATGAATAATAATATGACTTTTAACATGGATTTTCCCAAAAAATTTGATATAAAGTACTTAAAATCTCACTAAAATAAATAAATAGATTTAAGCAAGAGCCGATTACCTGTTTTGCTTCTTTATCAGCAATGGACGAGTGGCCTGGTTCATAGTCTTCAATTCGCCCTGGCTGGTTTTTGTAAACATCAACTGCATGCTTCACTGCATTGTATCTGAGATGAAAATAATTGATTGATGTTAACAATTTCTATTGTACAAATGCTACTAATTAGAAGGCTAAAATGGAAAGTAATTAAAAACTGTTTTAACAATCTTATTCTTATTTTAAGAAATTTTTACAATACCTCTCCTTTAGAATTGGCTTTCTTAATTATTCATTTTAGTCATCTTGTTTATTTAAATTAGTATTGCAATTTCCATTATTTTACCCTTATTTAAACCTTGCATCTTCTCTTTTTTGCAGTTAAATGAAAATTTGTACTTGTCTTAGTGACTAAATGATTATACTTTACTTTTGATATGTCAGTTATCTTACTTGTTCGTTCTGGGCATGGTACTTGTCGTGAAATCGTTATCCCGGTTGCGTATTCGCCGGCGATCGAGAGTTGCGTACTTGGCACTTGCGATATCACTGTCGTAGCCCCCTAGAGGCTCCGGTTCTGACAAATATCCTGCGGAGTTTGTGTACGGATACCTGCCTGCAATAGCAAAGACTGTGAGGATAAAAATTCTGTTATAAAAATACTGTTGCTGATTTTACAAAAATATTTATGTGAAATAATGCCAGTGGGTTACAAGGAACCCCTGGTTTGCATCCTACTAAAATTAGAGGAGGTGTCAAATCTTAATTTGTATGTAAAAGCTATACAAAATGTATTTTTAAACTTGAAAGCTATGTTCGAAACTGTACCCAGCTATTCTTGGTGAATTATCTTTTAATAATGAATTGGTCCTGGCTATAGAACCAGCTGATCTAAATCAGATAAACTAATCTCATTCATTTAACTCATCCTTCATTCATCTCCTTAATTTAACGTTTCCTTGATTCATCTCATTAATTTAACTCATCCTTCACTCATCTTATTAATTTAACTCATCCTTCCCTCATACCATTCAGTTAACTCATAATTCATTCATCTCATTAATTTAACTCATCCTTCACTCATCATATTAATTTAACTCATCCTTCCCTCATACTATTCATTTTGCTCGCGTCCTTCCCTCATCTCATTCATTTAACTCACCCTTCACTCATATCATTCATTTAACTCATCCTTCACTCATCTCATTCATGTAACTCATCCTTCATTCATCTCCTTAATTTAACGTTTCCTTGATTCATCTCATTAATTTAACTCATCCTTCACTCATCTTATTAATTTAACTCATCCTTCCCTCATACCATTCAGTTAACTCATAATTCATTCATCTCATTAATTTAACTCATCCTTCACTCATCATATTAATTTAACTCATCCTTCCCTCATACTATTCATTTTGCTCGCGTCCTTCCCTCATCTCATTCATTTAACTCACCCTTCACTCATATCATTCATTTAACTCATCCTTCACTCATCTCATTCATTTAACTCATCCTTCACACATATCATTCATGTAACTCATCCTTCAGCCATCTCCGCCTTAAAATATGCACCCTGTGGTCTCGGCAGTAGAAATCTTATCTAATTGAAATTAAATTTAGAGGAAAATATTATACTACCAGTATTTATGTGTAAAATGAATAGAAATAAGTAATTGTGACACATTTCTTTTATAAATTGTTTATGTTAAAAAATACAAGTTCATGCTTACATAAAAATTTTACCTATAGTTTTTTTACCAATGCAAAGAGCTTTTTTGGAGAAACGTTGCCCTAGAGCCAGTAAGTAAATAAAATAAAGTTAGGTGCAGTAAGAAATTATATGTTACTAAATGTTACCTACTAAAAGGATTTTCCACTTAATCACTTGATCAAAAAATGCATAGCCTGTCCCCAATGGGGTTTATGAATGAAAGGTTGGATGGAGAATGTAGCTTCATAGCAACTATGTATTCGTTTCTTTACCAAAGATAATTTTTGAAAGGTCCAGTTCTGAACCTTCAAATATATAATGACTTTTTTAGACTCTGAACTGGTAACCTAAAAATACTAAGAGAGTACTAAAACCAACCAACATCCCAGCTATATAGCTCTGAACCTATGGGTGTCTATTCCAACAGGTATTAGGTATATATTTTTTATATAGTGTAATAAAAATTAATAATAGGTCTCCTAGAAATAAGCGTTAATGAATACAAGTTTAGTAAGATCGTAAGATAGTAAGATTTTTGTTACAAAACAAACCACCATATTTCAAAACCTTATACAAACTAAAATATAAGAAAAATAAGCTCTATCACGAAGTTAAGCCATAGTTTCAATTTGAATGAATCAACCTCACTCTGATTAAAATTAAAAACAAAAACCTAATATTTCACCTTCTCGTTGATTATAAAAATGTCCCAGAGAAACTGTAGAGACTATCATTATAAGATTAAGTTGTTAAAAAATAAATTGGTTATGACTAGACTTGAACCTATTATTAAAAATGCAAAACAATTAAATAAAGAGATGGAGTATGCAGTTAAAAATGTATTAGCATGAGTATGATAAAATTAGAATTATAATAAAAAAAAGATATGAGAGCAAACTTCTGCAAAAATGCAAAAATGTATCCAGCCACCTCTTAAGCTTTAGCATTGTTAAAGCCACCCTTTGTTAGGTCTGTGAAAGAGTAATAGATTTTAATCTAGTCACCTCTGCGAGTTTTGTATCGAACAGTAACATACTCCTCTGAAAGAAAACATAAATAATAAGGTAAACATAAGCAATTCTAGTATTGGACAAACTTAGAAAAGTGGTGTTTTCTTTTAATGTATCTTAGGCTAAAAATCCGATCCAACAAGATAACCATAGAAGATAAACAAACTATTCATCTTTTTTAAATAAGGAGCTAATTTATTCAATGTGGTGCCTTCATTAGTTAGAATATTTCTTATCAAGAGATGACAATGTAATACCAGTTAGCTCCTGCAGTGAAGTAGTCTATTACATAGACCTAAGCTCAATAGTGCTAGAATTTCAATACATATATTATCAATCAAAATATGTACCGTATAAATGTCCAGATAAATCTCCTTTCTCCTAACAAATATAAACTTGTATTGATTTGATAGTCATTTGAAAGATATTCCATGTAAGATACTTTACGCCACACTACACTTTTTTAACGAACTTTCCACGCAATTATTTAGTCAAGAAACAGCTGTTTGCTGCCAGCTTAATCAAATGGGGTTTCATTCATTACATACTACTGTACTGCAATGAGTACAAAAACATAACCTCTTATGAGTAGTGATTGTTATTCCTTTAGTCGGTGGAAATAAGGATTTGTACAGATTTGTATTGTTAAGTTATCTTAGAGTAGTATGGCGTAAAATATCGTACGTCACTTGTCCAAATGTGTTTATCGGGCTCGTATGGTAATCCCGCATTTGAATTCGTCTTCCACGGGATCGACCACACTCGTCCGGTAAACACCTATCTTCAGGGCTAGTAACGTAATATACTAATACTCTGAATTAAATCATACTTACTGTCTTTTTCGGCCCTCTGCAGGGAGTCATACATTCGTTTGTACCACTTGTGTTGGTTTTCATCTTGTACCTCCTAAAAGGGTAAAACATGTTGTTTAGTAGCGTTTAGCGTTAATAATATTTTACTGTTAAAGGAGCTTTTATAGTAGATTGTATATATTACCCGAGTATCAAAAATAAAACCATAATTTTAGCAAACAAATTTCACTTATAGATAAACTACTTTAAAACTTAAGTGTATATTGTAGAAGTGTTCTGACTTTTTGAGAATTAATTTTATGAACGATAACAAACTCACTTAGTAAGTTTATCAGATGAAAAGTTTATAATTTCAAGGTTTACCTGAGCTAACTTGTAGTAGTAGTCCTTTTTATGGTAGCATGAAACAAGCCGATGAATGAATTAGTTATGAACTGTCAATCTCAATTATTGGATGTTAATGTTATGTTGTACTGTATGGCTGTTTTAAACAATATCTACAAGGAGTGGTTACTGAAACTTTTTTTCAGAACAATAGCCATTGGTCATAAAGTTTAAAATTAAAGTCGAGATAGCTGTAATAATGTTTGAGAAATTTTCAATGTTGGACAAGTATGTCAGAACGTATTGAATCACGAACATGTTTGGTAACTTTTCAAATCAAAGCTTAATTAACAATGTACGGTAACACAAAATAAATGCAATGTGTACAATAAAAGTAGCCCAACAGTAGGTTTGAGTGACTACTGTTTTTCCGACCCTTTTCACCGCAAAATTTTTAGCAAAACACTTTTTTCATAGAGCTGCTAAACAATAAATTATATAATTAATTAGTAAATGTGATTCCACATGGCCATATTTACTGTGCCTCAACAAGAGATTGTAAGGGAATTTTAAATGAGTTAATGTGATATTTTTATGAAAATTTTAAATTATAAATTTTCTGAAAAATACTTAACCTAGACAAGTAAATTTCAATCAATTTTTTTAGCTTAAATACCATAGAACTTTTACAATTGCTCTGTATAAATTTGCAAGAGACAAATTATGATAATAAAAAGTTACACCAATCAGATTGATATTGTAGAATGATGAATAGATAAAACTACCATAATTATTACTCCTTCATTTCAAAGGTTCATGAACAACTTTATAAAAGGTACAGAACCAAAAATTAAAGATTTGTATATTGTACTCACTGATCTCAAGACTATTGGGATTCCATCTTTGGTTGTTGGACCAATGCCTTGATATTTCTTTGGAGTTATTTCTACAGTTTTCTTTGGCCGCTTATCTTCACTTTCACTCTCGTATTCTCGTCGAGTCGAATATACTGCAAAAAAGAAAAAAATAATAACAATATACATCACTAATATTTTGACCAGACCTTAAGATTCAGTATACTGGGACAGTTTTGAGTTAAAAAGGTGGATATTGTAACTGACATGATGTTATTATTGTAGGCTATAATGTTTGTTATTACAATTATATTGTATCAATATAAAAGATAGTTAAATCACTAATTAAAAATTGTTGTCTAAATATTTAAGGTGTGAAAAATATTATTACTGAACTTTTATATAAGCATGGTATCAGGTCAAACATTTTTGGAGTTTTCTTAAAAGATGGTTTGTTTGTAAAATAATAGATATGTCAATAAATTTTCTCAGGTAGTGTTACAATAATGATAAGACATTGATAATTTAGACAGTATAAAAAATCAATTGCAATTCAATTTCATACTGTAACATTCACAAATTACTGTGTGTAGTCAATGATACTACTGTACATATAATAGTATATTACGTTACTAGTCCTGAAAATATGTGTTTATCGGACGAGTGTGGTCGTTTCCGTGTGAGACAAAGTCGAGTGCGGGATTACCATACAAGTATGGTAAACACATTTTGGATGAGTGACTTACGATATTTTACGACATACTACTCTATGCTAACTTAACAATAAAAAATCTGTACGAATCCAAATACAGTATATTCCCACCGACTAAAGGATTAACAATCACAACGCATAAGAGGTTTTTTTTTGTCACTCATTGCCAAATATAATCAGCTGGTTGGTGTCTGGTAAAAACTCATTACAGTAGGATATAGCAGTACATAATGAAACCCCATTTGATTAAGCTCAAACAGCTGTTTTCTGGACTAAATTCTTGTGTGGAAAGTTTGTTAAAAAAAAAAAAGTATTGCATAAAATTCATGAATAAATAGTTAAATTTGAAAAATATTTGAATATTTGTCTTGGAAATTCATATTCAGCCAGTTAAGTCTTTTATCAGTCCAAGTTTGCGAAAATTTCAGGTTTAAAATATCATTTACAGAGATTACTAGCTTACTTTTATTAATTTACACAAAGTACCATTTTAAACCTCTTCAACTTTAGATCCATCAATATAGGCAGTAGTTTGAGGTTGATAACTTTTATTGTAAATGGGATCAACATATTATATAAAAATATGTTGTATTCTGTATTTTTGATCAACCATAGAAGCTCTACTGGTATGAATAATTACCCATTGATGTGTTTAGTTAATGATCTGAACATGTTCAAACGATATACGAATTAACTTTTTAACTTTTTTTGCTGGAGTAAGATACTTACAAACTTCATTAGACCGGACTGAAGGGGGACTTGATCTCTTGTCAAGGGAAGAACTGCTTCTATTTTCGGTGATGTTGGTTGAGTTTTGGTCCAGATAGTGTGCTCCTCTAGGCAGCTGCCCTTCTACAAAGTAAACAATAAACTCTGTTGAATAGAAATCAATTCAACAGAACAAGATCACAAAAGGATACTGATGAGTTAAGGATGTGTATAAAAACCATCTTAGAACGTTAGGGCCCATTCTGTTACATAAAAAGAAGGAGTTGAGGGAGTGTCTTATAAATGTATATATATATATATATTCTCCTTTTGATCCTTAGTGCAATTCAACATTTCTCAACAGATTTTGTGAGAATTTTCTGATTTGTCCAGTCAAGACCATATATATTAAAATGTGACCGGGGGTTTTTTTTTTAATTTCACGATCGTGAATCAAACACACTTGACGGATTTTCATGATTTTTATGTTAAAATAAAGATAATTTTGAGAACTAGGAAATGTCAAAGCCATAAATTTAGTTTAGATTGTCAGTTTGATATAAATTAATATTATTTTTGTAACTCTTCTGAAATATTAAATTGAGTAGGCCTACGGTAAGTGAAATAATGCTGATTGTGTCGTACTATCAACAGTGAGCATCTCGAAATAATAGTAATAGTCTGTCTGAGGAACTACTGAGCACCAGAGTAATAGGGAGTAAAAATAACCCTGTGAGAATGACCAGCTGAATTGCATTGTTTCACCTATTACTGTAAAGCTAAGAAATGCTTCTGACTACAGTACCTCTGGCCTTCTGCAGCAGAGTGATGGTGGGGTTGAGGGTGGAAGTGTCTGGTAGACTGCTGCTAGTCACCAGTCTGCTGGAGGTCTCGTGGTGACTGTAGGAGGCTGAGGAAGATGTCAGCTGACTGTGACTGGTGGATGAGGAACTGTGGCTAGGAGACTCCACGGAGATTGGCAAGTCTGTCGGTGGCTTTGGTGTGTCCTGTAAGTTTTACCATGGATTAAACATCTCCTGTTCTTGTTCTCTGTTATCATAATCAAAGATTAAAGCGTAACGCTACAATAGGAGGACATTAGTCTACATCAAGTTTTACCAGACTAAGTCCTTAATTAAGTGTTACCATAGACTAACCAACACAAGGGAGTATGTTTTATCTATGGTGTTACTAGACTTAAACTAGTTTTACAACAAGCTTTAGATTTTAAGTATTAAAAGTCAATGTTTTGGTGGTTAGTTTTACTTCAAATTCAAATTTGCAAAAGAAAAAATTCCAGTACCACATATAAATAAACAAAAAAAAAGATTTAAATTAGTTTCTAAAATAACTAATAATGGTGATAAAAAAATTGAATAGTCATTTATAAATTGCTTGTAAATCTGTATTTGTATTTTAAAACCACTGTACAGTTATCATAACTTACTTCAGAAGACTTCTGATTGTATGTTTTTCTTGTGGGCGTAGGAGACTCAAAGTTGACAGGTCTAAACTTGCGCTCGCTGGTGGGAGAGGCCTGGGCACTCTTGGGTGTCCAAACTGGAGGAATGGGGTCTTCTTCTCCCTTGGAGTCCTCCTGGGCTTCTGTGAAGTTAAACTCCTTCCTCTTAGGCTCCGGTGTAGTACCTGGCGACCACACACCTGCAAAACAACAACAGAAGTTGTAACATAAGTTCCCCTACACACTGGGTGTTTTTCTCGTGATAAGGGAATGTTATGGTCAAAATCTGCCAACCTGAAAACCCTTACCCTTTTCCAAAGTTATACTAAGATGTGTACATATAGTTTTGCTACCTTAGGGGCTGCATTACCTGTTGTCCTCATCGTCTGGTTTGTTACCATTTTTTTATATACAGAGTGGAACGAAGTTAGTGTTAAAAAATTTTATGTGTTAAACTACTACGTTTTGGTGACAAAATGGCACCAATTTAAGTTTCCATACCCTCACAGGTAGGGAAAAACAGACAATTTAAGATTTTTTCAAAATATTTGTACTTACTCACATAAAATGGCCATAAGTGCATTAAACATTGTTTTTATTCCAAATTCATTGTCATTTTCAGAATCCTCGTTAAATTTTCAATAGTAATAGTACAAATTCATTGAGATTAAACATCTGCATAAGCCCTTATTTGGCCATGGAATTTTGAATTTGTGATTTTTTATAAATAAGTAATAACTTTTTCCAAAGTTTTTCTATACTACACTGGACTGTAGAGAGTGTCAAATATTACTAAAAACGTTTGCAGTTAATAACCTTTAAAATGATGTATAAACATATAATGTTCCTTTGATTTGTCGTTCTCAAATTTAAGAGTTTCTCATGAAAAACACGGAACGACTAATGTTTTATTTCCTTAAAAAAAAACATGTATTGGCTTTTATGATGCGGCAGCAGCTGCTTTAAAAATCATGTTTAAATGGGTATTATTGCAATTTTCAGAATCCTTGTAAAATTCCTAATAAGAATATTGAGAAATTGTTAGGATTAACACTTTATGAAACTATGTTTTGTGATGAATTTTCATTTAGAGGGATTTCTTCTTATTTATTGAAATAAATTAAATATCGTTTACGGTGTTAGTTCTATGGCACATTCAACCGATGTGCGAGATTTACTTAAGGCAAAATACACAACTTGAATGATAAGAATGATAATGATGGGTCATATGGTGTGGTTTGCTGGCATACCAGGTCGCCAGACCTAAGTCCACTAGACTTGCTTTGTGTGTTATGTGGAGTACTTGGTCTACTCATCTTTAGTGGAAGATAATCAGGAAATTAACTACTGGATAATGAATGCAGATGTGCTAGTCAGAGGAACTGTATTTTAATGTTACTGTTGGTGCCACGTGCAAAAAACGCTTGGCTGTGTATCTGGGAAAATGGAGGAGATTTTGAAAAAAAAAAACTCAAGTAGTTGGCATCAAATAGAAGGCAACTATTAAAACGTCAAGGAAGTAAGGAACAGTTATTTAAGTTTCGAATATTTCGTGTTTTAGAATTAACTTTTAGTTTTTGTATAAGTAACTAAAACAAAGTACTTTTGAGGTGTTACTCAGTCAAGTGATATATTTCTTAACTAAAATAATTGTTAACAGTGTTAACAATTATTTTACTTAAGAAATATATCACTTGACTGAGTTATTTCTATTAGCATGTGTCTAAGCACTTCAATCAATTAATTGGTATACTATACTTAGGTTAATTTTCGGTTTTCGGTGAACATATTGACAATATTGTAAAGTGTAGTATCTACATAATTTTATAGGCTACTCCATTGGAAGTATTTGCTTAGGCTTAAAAAATCTTAAGTTAAATGTACCATGTGTAACTTTAAACAATATTCAATGTATTCAAAAAATAAAAATAAAACTAATTTAACATGTTTTCACAAAACATACGTTTACATGGATGTTAATCCTAATAGATCCTTAATATTCTTACAATAAATCTCACAAGGATTCTAAAAATTACAGTAGACCCTATTCAAATATAACTGTTATTGCAGCTATTGCCATATTATTTAAGCAAATACATGTTATTTTAAAGGGAATTAAACATTAGCCGTTCCGTGTTTTTCGTGAGAAACTCTTAAATTTGAGAACGACAAATCAAAGGAACAGTAGATGTTTGTACATCATTTTAAAGGTTATTAACTGCAGAAGTTTTTAGTAATATTTGACACTCTCTACAGTCCAGTGTAGTATAGAAAAACTTTGGAAAAAGTCATTACTTATTTATAAAAAATCACAAATTCAAACTTCCATGGCGAAATAAGGGCTTATGCAGATGTTTAATCTCAATGAATCTTTACTATTGCTATTGGAAATTTAACGAGGATTTTGAAAATGACAATGAATTTGGAATAAAAACAATGTTTAATGCACTTATGGCCATTTTATGTAAGCAAGTACAAATATTTTGAAAAAATCTTAAATTGTCTGTTTTTCCCTACCTGTGAGGGTATGGAAACTTAAATTGGTGTCATTTTGTCACCAATACTTAGTAGTTTAACACATAAAATTTTTTAACACTAACTTCGTTCCACCCTGTATATACTTGTAGGATTATTCCCAGTTATGTTATAAGATATAGTAAGCCTAAAAAAAAAAATAATTTGCAGCATTTTGTATGTTGTCAATAATTTTAAGGTTATAAAAGACTACATCCGATGAGGTGAAAAAATAAGGAAATAAAAAAAATAAGCGGATTACAGTTGTAATAATACTAGCATTATAATTAGAACACTGAAATAACCTTTTTTCTTAATATCACCCCCCTTTCAAACTCCACAACTTGTAAAGCTGGGTTTTCCTAGGCGCGGAAGCGGAGAGCGGAGAGAGGAACGCGGAGAGCGGAAAAGAGATTAACATGGTGTTCCGCTCTGCTGGCTTAACTCCAACTAAAAATTACTTTTATTTATGGGATACTAAGATAAGTTTATATAGAAGGAGTAGATTGCTACCATAGGAATGTTGAAACAGTGCTCTAAGAGAGTTCACCATTGGTGTAACAATTCAGTTTTTTAGTTGACACTGATAGTTTAGTTATGCTAATAATAAACTGGCAACAAATAGGCTACCAATTAAAAACTATAAAATCTAAAATAAAATTAAAATTTTAAAGCTAAACAATTTCACATGAGCAGTCTAGACTTTGAAGACATGTAATTTACAAAATGATTTGTAACAAAAGTAGGAACTGATTTTATGGTGTTGTCAACGGACTAGGCTCAAAGAAATGTAAAAGGTTAAAATCCAACACAAAATCTACACAATGAGGAAATTATTTTTAAATTGAATAATACTCACCAAAATTTAAAAAAAAATCCATCACTCCATTTAAAACTTAAAATGTCAAATTATACATTGTTGAAACAGTGACTAAAATATTCATCTTAATAACTTTTTGATTAAAGTACACCATTTTATATTCCTTTTACTCATCCTTAATAACATATTCAAAAAGTATATTAAATAGAGTACAGTGTCTAAATTATAGTTCTTGTTAGTAAAAAATAGTCAAACCCACACAACATATTATCACAAAAAATGTTAGATAATATCAGAAAAGTTAAGTTCATAGAGTAGGATAAATAGTCCCAACACTTACAGCTAATATACTCATGCTTCAGAAGATATTTTTGAGATTTAATAACGTTTGTTTGTTTTTGACTAGAACTCTTTGGTAATGAAATATTATTTTGTAATTATCAATTATCAATCATTAAGATGGGGACGCCACTTAGGTGCGTATTTTAACCCAATAATTGGCTCATTGTAAAACACCTTTGAACAAATCCTGATTCAGATTCCATTTGCCTTTGCCATAGTTGAATTTAACTACTATAGTCATAAATAATTGGAATGTACAAATTAACTCATCTATTAAAAAGTCGTGAATCTTGGGTGTTAACTATTAGATAGGTACAAAAAATGTAGTCTTGAAAGTTTAATAACTTGCACAGTTTGATGAATAACAGCATATCCAGGTACAGCATATTTTGCTTAGTTGAGAAAACTAGGATACTGGGGTAACGTATCATTTTAAACACTTGTAATATCTCTGCGGCAAATGTTAGAAGATACGCAATAACGAAAAAACTAATTTCGTTAAAACAACAAAAAAACGTTAAAATCTTAAGGCATAGGTAGAAATAAAAATTAACAAAAAAAATGGTACTGTAGCCCTACAATAACACCTTTGATAAAAACACAGTGGATAAAACTGTACAGTATTCTCTACCCGTAAGGAAAAATTGCCTAGGGGACAAAAACAGAGGTATTATAGGTTCCTCTTTTATGTCACTTGAGTCATGTTTAATAATACAGTAGTAAGTAATGCACAATAACCGACGTATGAGCGAATGTTTTATTTCTGTCAACAAGTTTCTACACTCTACACCAGTCGTTGGCAGCGCTAGCAGCAGGTGCATTAGGCCGACAACATTACCAAACCTCCTCACAAACGTTTCAACACATTATGCCACAATACACCAGCTGGACCATTGCCAGATCAACTCATTCTAATTTGTTGCTTGCTACAGCTCTATAAGAGTTCAGTACTAATATTGTCTAAGAGTTCAGTGTCTTGAAAGTTTGTTATTAAGTTTCTCAAAGACCCAAACATATGTTATGCTGTATCATTCATCGATTCATTGTTTGAAATACTGTAATATGATTTAAGTTTCAAATTTACTCATTTTCCGATATAATTTCTTTGCAATAAAATATCTAAAACTGGATGTGCAATGTCTGCTTGCAATATTGAGCGAAGAAAGCATATTAATCTAATACTTATACTTTTAATGCTACAGTACATAGGTTTTACGTAAATGAGATGTCTACTTATAGTAAAGTCGATGGTTCATTTGGTTCTAATAAATTACATGTCTACTTGCAGTATCCAAAATTAGAGGTACAGTATATTTGGTTCACATAAATGGAATGCCTATTTGCAGTATCTACGTCAGTGGTGCATACGCCTAGTTATTCATTTTTTAGATTTTTTATTAAATTGTGCTCAACGGTATCAATCCGACTCTTCTTATTTTAGGGAATTTCCCTATTACATAGGGAAGTAGCTATTTTGTTCTGTATGAGTAATGTGCTGGTTTATATTATTTGTTTTTAACCATG